TAATAACATCAGTGCTGCAGCTGCAGCCAGGGAAAAATGTCTTTAGAGAAAGCGATTCAATAAAAAGTTTTTATCAGGGGAACTGTTGTCTTTCTGATGACAAAACCAGTTTGACTGACTAAAAAAATTACCTCTGGGGGTGTTAGGAGATTTTCCTGGGGAATTTAAATGCCACAAGGTATTTTCAGCTTAAAAATAGCAGCGTGTAGGTTGGAATGAGTAGCTGAGAGGTATGTGCTGTAGGTTGGGATTCAGGAATACAGATGTTCAGGGATTCTTAAAAATGTACTTTTTCTGATTTAAAAATTACCGTGCTGCAGCTCAGAACTGTAGAGTTTGTAATTATAATCATTATGGTATTCAAAGCAGCTTTAAGAATCTCCTGAGAAGTATTTGAAATTTTAAGCAGATATTCTCTGTAGCTGCTCTGAGCCCGTGTGCTTCCTCCTGTATCTGCCCAGATTTGGCTGATATTACAAGGAATGKGCACTGAAATGGTGTCTGGGCTATTAAAAGCATTCCAGATCCAGCAGGACATGAGCCTGGGAAGCTGTCAGGTGACACTCTGCCTTTTTGGGGCCTTTTGCTGTTGTTTCCCTTTCTCCCATTGTGGCTTTCCCCAAGCTGAAATGATTAATAACATCAACCAGATCATTAATAACAACCAGATCATTAATAACAACMAGATCACTACCTCGKGCTGCTCCTTGCTCACTGTTCCTGYAGTGCTTTAACCTCATCTTGTGMCTCCTCCTTSCCCTTTTCACCAAAAATCCATTCYAGTTTTTTCTCCCTTTGATAACCTAYCCTTTGCRTWWTTTTTTCCTTGGAACCCCTCTACAGAATTAAATTCTGCCCGTGCAGAGTGAGTTCTCTGCTGATTTGGGGTTTGCAGGTGGGTGTTTGCTCAGCTCCCCAGGCTCCTGGGCACTTTGGATCCCGAGCTCCAGTCCCACTGCAAACCCCACTCTGACCCTTCAGCTGCGCTCCCCACGTGGGATGTGCACCAGAATTTTCCTTTTCTTTTCCTCCTGGATCCTCCTTTGGATTTTTCATTCCTTTCATATTCCCTCTATAGAAAACTTTTSCAGCAGCTGATCTTTGCTGATCTATTTCTGGTCCAGTTTTAAGCTTTTGTAACTCCGTTCTCCTTCCACAARGTTCTGGGGACGTCCTTTCAGAGGTTTTATGGGCACAGTCACCTGGGTGCCTTTTGTWTTTCTGGGTGTTTTTTGAGGCTGTGCTGCCAGGTTCTCCCTCTCCTGGGCAGTTCCAGCTCACCTGGAAGGAAGGTGAGTTCTGAAAGGTGTTCTTTTGGGAATAATCCATTTGATGGCTTCAGCTGCTTTTTCTGTGCCAMAGGAATCCCAGCCCTTCACATTCTGACTTGCAGATCATCTCAGCTTCAAACCCTGCACATTTTCTGTCCTCTGAGGGTGAGACTGGCTGTGACACATGTTCAGAGTCAGGGTAGAAAAGAGCTCCATCTTTTAAACCTGTTTACCTCTCTGGAACTGGATTTTCTGACAGGCAGGCCCTCTGTTAAATGTGATTTAAAATGAGAACATCACAATTCACTGCCTTGGAACAAAACCCTGCCACAAATCACATCTGCATATTAACAAATCTTTTGTGATGCTTTTCACTGTGTGCATTTCAATAAAAGCTCAGGAACATTTTTGGGTAGCACTGGGACCCGTGTGCTCTCCCTGAAAGCAAACACCAGTCTTGTACCTTAATGGGAATTTTTCAAGTTTATATGAACATTTTTCATAAACATTAGATGTTTTAAGCTCTATCTTGCTACTTAGGTGTATTAATACAGTGTCGTTTATGTGTCTTCTTTATATTTCTTATTTTCTCCTTCTCTGTAAGGTCAGTACTGGCTCACTGTGCACTGCAGTAAGACAGATAATATAGACTTAATAATGTGTGGTTTTCCCCCCTATAAATACATAARGTTTTTTCCTGTAAATCCATATAAGTCTTTCTATAACTTCCAAAAGATGACAATAGCAGAAGAAAAATTAAAAACCCTTTTTAYATTTTCTTTAAGTTTTTTAACAAACCCCTTTTTGTTTTTCCTTAAGCACATGACCAAACATTAAACAGACTTGTACTAATGGAGATGCAGGTTGCCTTTATTTTAATTTCCTGTTAAAAAAAGAAAACTTTTAAAATAGTTTTGAAGCAAGAACACCACACAAGTCAAGACAATGTTTCCTGAGAGATGGGTCATTGTGTGAAGGGCAGGGTCCATTTGAAAATCCTGCTTTTAATGTTTCAAACAAATCTGTTCTGTAGTCTTGCTGTTCTGAGAACTAGGTAGTTTTTTTGCTGGAGTTCATTCCTATAAAAAGAACATTTTACATTAATTTTGCAGTAATTTCTGTAGCRCTTTTATCCCATCTCCTTTCTGTGGAGTGTAAGAGGTGAAGGCAAAATTTTGGGGAATTGTGATGGTCTGGTTGCTCCTTGGTGTTTCCCATAACCTGGGCCAGGGGAGCACCTGTGGGTTTAGGGATCCACATTGAACCTCAGCCCTTAAAGATTCCAGAACCCAAAAAGCAACTCCCCATTCCCTCCACACCTCTGAAAGACTTTGGCTTTTGATGAGGGCTGGCAATTAATTTCTCACTCCTAGACTTCCTTCCTCCCCTTCAAATTCCTCTGCTCCACCTGAATTTATCATTATCAGATTAAAAGACGAGGAAAAAAAAAAGCATTTATAATGTTGTTGTTGTTGTTTTCATTGGGCTATGGAGAATTTTCTTAGGATTTTAAGTTATAAATGTGATTTTTTATTCAGTGTGGAAGCCTGTCAGATTTAGGAGCACTTTCCAAGAGCTTCATCTAACTTGAATCTATTCCCTTCAGATTTTTTTTTTTTTTTTTGTTCTTACTAACATCTTTTTCAACTGGAATAAAATAATTTTTTCAGCTAAAGAGTGAATTAAGTTCTTTGCTTGTGCATAATCCCAAGGTGTGTACAGGTAACTCCTTTCATCTTAATGATAACATCTGGTATCATTTGCATGCTCCATGATAACATTTATGTGAACATGGAGATCAGTTCTGACAACACAAACACAAAATT